CAGGCTAGCACCTAAAATATATCAGTTTAAAAATGAAGGTCTCTGTTCTCACCCAGCTTACAGCCTAGTGGGGGAAACAAACAAGGAACAAGGATCATAACAGACAAGCAAGCTAAAGAATGTGACAGGACAGAGTGCTGCAAAAAGGAGAAGTGCACGGTGAGCCTGGGCCAGGCCCGGGCCGGCCTGATGGGAGCCTGAGCTGAGAAAAGGCGTGAGCAGGGGAGGGGAGGCCACATAGACGTGGAGGCTGGGGCTTCAGGGGAGGCACAGCATGTGCAAAGGCCCTGGGGAACCGAGGGGCCACAGGAGGCTGAGCTGGAGGGGGCGGGGCCGGGAGGGATCAGACAGAGGAGGGTGTGTGAGGGCGGGCCTTCCCACTGCCTCCAGCTCTCTTCAGTCTCTAACAGCACGTAGGGTCGTGTGCACATGCGTGTGAACACTGGCTTATCGCACAAATAAACTGACGAACAAGAGAACAAAGTAACCCAGTGGAGAAGGCCACCCAGAACCGCAGCAAGCGGACGAACGACCCTCAATTTTCTTCTGCTCCACAGCGACCCTGCTGGTTTGCAGCTGCACTTTTTAAACGCTTACAAATTTTAATTCAGCTTGTTTTTTCTTGGTATCTTATACACATTTCCTTCATCCCTATTTAGTTACAGTTAAATGATAATCTTTAAGATCTACATAAATGTATAATCATTGAATAAGTCTCATAATTTCAGACCCTCCAACACTCACAAAGGACAGGCCTGCCCCTCTGATCTGACTTCATTGTCACCCCAGGGGAGTGCAGGGGCTAAGGAAGGAGGTGACAGCTGACACTTGAGCCCCAGGAAACCCAGGGCAGGAGATGAAGTCCGGAGTCTGCAGCCTCGGGCCCCATGTCCTTCCCGGGCCAGGAAGGAGGGAGATGCTCCCAAGAGCACTAAGGACGCGAGCGCCTCCCCTGCCCGGGCTCCCAGGACATTCAGAGGGTGAGGAGCGCTCGGGTCCCCTCATCGCATCCCTAAATCCCAGAACAGCAGAGGCTGGCGTGCTGGGGCAGCTGGCCACGCGGACTGCCTCCCACCACCCCGAGGAGCGCCCACCTCCAGAGGAGGAGCACTGAGGCCCAAGGCTGGGGAGGACTGCCCGCCTCTCTGCCCCCCGCAGCACCAGGCCAGCACTGGGACCTCAGAGCCCTTCTCTGCATGCCCCACGTGGGGGGCAAAACCCGGCAGCTCTTCAGGGCTCTTATCTCCTTCTTCCCCCACGTCCCCTCCTTTTCCATTCCGAACAGTTGATCGGTTATAGACAGACAGATGGATCGATGGATAGGTAAATAGATTAACAGGAGCTTCCCCGGTGGCTCAGTGGTGGAGGATCCACCTGCCAATGCAGGAGACTCAGGATCGATCCCTGATCCGGGAAGACCCCACACGCCACAAAGCAACCAAGCCCGTGCACCACAGCTACCGAGTCCACGTGTCACACTGCTGAGGCCCGCGTGCCCTCGAGCCCGCGCTCCGCACCGACAGAGACGCCGCTGTGTGAGAAGCGGCTCAGCCAGGCTCAGCAGCCAGAGCAGCGCCCGCTCGCTGCAGCCGGAGAGGAGCCCGAGCCGTGGCGAAGCCCCAGCACAGCCCAAAGCGGACAAACCAGCTGTCACAGAGACGATGGACGGCGAGGCGGTGGACAGATGAAGGGACGGACAGACAGACGACAGACAGCGCTACCGATACAGACGACGTGGTCAGAGGGTGTGGGGCAGCGTCCCCGTCGGTAGGATGCAAGGAGCACTGCGTGCAGCCTGATATTCCGCTCAGAAGCACAGCCCAACCCAGGAGGGAGCCTCAGTGAGACGAGATCAAGGAGCAGCCTACAAAATGACTGGTTCTGAAAGTACGGCATCTTCAGACGCGCGAAGTGAGGGGCCAAGGACAGACGGGGCCCCCCTCTCCAGGCCGGGAGGCCACCACACGGCAGGACAGGTAAGTGCCTCAGTCTGAGCCGGAGTCCGTTAAGTGGGATAAAACCCGCACTGGGTCTGATAATTAGATGATTACCATGAAGCAGTGACAACTTCCTGACTTTAAGGACTGAATCTGGTTATTTAGGATGACAAGTCTATGCAGGAAGCACACACTAAGACGTCTGGGGCAATAACTACTGTGCTGAGACATGCCTGCGGGAAAAAGCAAACTGTGACCTCTCTGTCCCATTCAATAAACAAAAAGCCATTTTAGGTGGATTGTAGATCTAAATAAGAAAGGCAAAATACTAAAGCTTCCAGAAGCGGCTTTACATAATATCTTCAAGGTTAAATAATATCTTTGACTTTCTTGAAGCAAAAAATTTTTTTAAATGACCCAAACAGGATCAATGATAAGACTACATAAAAATTAAGAGTTTCGGTTCCTCAAAAGACACCATTAAGTTCATCACAGATGGGGAGATGACAGATAACCAAAAAAGGCTCATGGCCAGTCTTTCTCTCTAAATCTCTCTTTGGAATAAAATATAAAGAGGAATCATACATTTTTTTGTTTGTTTACAAAGAAAGTAGCATTAGGAATCATCAATAAACTCATTTTATAGTTTAGAAAATTGAAGGCAAAAGAGCTTGGACTTGAGGTCTCCTTAGTCTCAGCCTAACGCTTTTCTCAGTATTAGATAAGATAAATGTAGATAACCAAGGGAAAAAACAAAAGAAACATAATCTGAAAAATTCAACGATACAAACACTCAAGAACCTAGGACTCAATAAGAATTTCTTCACTCAGATAAAAGGCATCTAAGGAAAACCTACAGCCAACATTCTACCCAAGAGTTCAAGACTGAATGTCCCTCCCTCTCCAAGAGCAGGAATAAGACAAGTGTGCCTGTTCTCACCACTTCTATTCAACCTGTGCTAGAAGTTCCAGGAAGAGTGATAAGGCAAGAAAAACAAAACCATCTAACTAGGAAAGCAAGAAGTGTGTCCAGATGACACAATTTTGTAAATTTTTTAAAATGCAAAGGAATCCACTAAAAATCCATTAAACTAGTAAAAAAAATTCAGAAAGCTTGCTTGGATCAGTGTACAAAAATTAATTGCTTATTTATATACACTAGCAATGAACATTCTGAAAATGAAATTAGAAGACATTTGCATTTATAATAATTTGAAAAGGAATAAAATTTGTAGAAATAAATTTAACAAAAGAAGTGCAAGATTTGAACACTGAAAACTACAGAACACTATTCATTAAAGGCCTAAACAAGTGGAAAAATCACCCACATTTATGGTTCAGAAGACCCACCCTTAAGGCAGCAACACTTCTTCAATCAATCCACAGATTCCAAGCAGTCACCCTCAAAATCCCAGCTGCCTTCTTTGCAGAAATTGACAAGCTATGCTTAAAACTCATGTGGAAGTACAACAAACCCTGAAAAGCCAAAACAGTCTTGAACAAGAACAGAAATGGATGGCTCATACTTCCTGACCAGAAAACCTACTACAAAGCTACAATAATCAACACAATGCAGAATTGGCTTAAGGACAGACAGATACACTAGTGAGATAGAATTGAGAATCCAGGAATTGATTTTTCTCAATCAACTGATTTTCAACAAATGCCCCAGGGCAATTTAATGGGCAAAAAATTGTCTTTCTAACAATGGTGCTGGGAACACTGAATATTCACATGTTTAAATATGAAGTTGGACCCCTACCTCATAACATGCACAAAAATTAACTAAAACCGGACCAAAGACTTCAACACAAGCACCAAAACTATTTTTAAAATCTTAGAAAAAAAGCTCAGATATAATCTTTGACCTTGGATTAGACAATGGTTTCATAGAAACGACACTAAAAGAACAGGCAACTAATGAACAAAAAGATAATTTGGACTTGGTCAAAGTTTAAACTTTTTGCTGCAAAGTACAGTATCAAGGGGGTGAAAGGATACCCCAGAGAGTGAATGAAATGCTTGCAGATCATGTCCCTGAAATGGAAGTGTTTCTAGAATACACACAGAATATTTATATTTCAAAAAGAAGACAACCTAGTTTTTTAAAAAATGGGCAAAGGATCTGAACAGACATTTTGCTAAAGACACACAGCCGATAAGCATGTGAAAAGATACTAGCATCACTTGCCACAAGGAAAACGGAAATCAAAGTCACAACGAGAGACCACTTCATTCATCCTGGAACAGCTAACACCGAGAAGACTCATGTTGGTGAGGGTGTGGAGCGCTTGGAACCCTCAGACTGTGCGGATGGGAACGGGAAGTGGTGGGAAGCAGCCTGGCCATTCCTCAGAATCCTAGGCACAGAAGTTACTAAGGACCCAGAAAGTCCACTCTTAGGTAAGCACTCAAGAGAAATGAAAACATATCCACACACACAAGAAAAAACTTGCACATGAATGTCCATAGCAGCACTAATCATAATAGTTATCCACGAAGTGGAAAACAGCCTGATAAGGAATAAACAGATCAATAGAAGCGGGTCCTGCCATACAGTGGAACATTATTTACCAATAAAAAGAAATGAAGTAATACTTGCTACAACCTGGATGAACCTTGAAAGTATGCTCAGTAACAGAAGTCAGTCCTGAAAGACCGTCTCTTGTTTAATTCTATTTGTATAAAATGTCCCAAATAGGCAGGTTCATGTTGGGGGTGCCTCAGGAGGACTGGACCACTAGCTAGGCAGGGCTTCTTTGGGGGACGGAGGTAAAGACCTTATGAAGGTTGGTGATAGACAGTTCTTGGTGAGTATACTAAGGGACCATTGAACTGTACATTGTAAAAAGGGGAATTAGGTGGTCTGTGAATTATATCTCAGATAGTTGCATAACTTGGTGAATATGCCCAGGGACCATTGAACTGTATATTCTAAAAAGGGGAGTTATATCTGAATAAAGCTTTCATTTCAAAAATTTTTTTTAAAGGACAAGCTAAGGTTTCTAGGAAAAGGGGAGGGTTTTTTGTGTTTTTTTCCCCCAAAGCTCTAATAAGTTTATAATGGTAACAATCCTACAAGCGACACACAGCAATTNGCGGCTGGAGGCGGCGCTGGCGGCGCTGCAGGAGCAGCTGGTAAGGAGAGCGCGGGGGGCGCGGGGGCGGCGGGCGGGAGGCGACCGATCGAGGGGCGCCCTCGGCGGCCTCGGAGGACGCGTCTCGGTCCCAGCGCAGACGGACGCAGAGGCTCCACGGATCCTGAGATCCGTGGCGGGTCAGGGTGGGTCCTGAGAGCTGCCCGGCCCGCCCGCACCCTGGGGCTGCGCCCGGCTCTGCGTGTCGCCCCGCGCACACAGACTTTGAGGATGCATTCCTATGTGTTGGAGTTTCCCTGTTGCGTTGATAAGAACGCATCAAATCGGTTTGCCCTGAGGGGGATCCTTGGGATGCCTATTTCGGGCTCCATCGTCTCCCTGCCGAGTGGGTCGGGGGACGGCGTGCCACGCACCACCCCACCCCCCCCAGGCTGGCCCGCGCCCAGGCCGAGCTCTGGGGTCGTGTCATTGTAACTAGACGTTGGGGGAAGCGTGGATCTGATAAGGCCTCTTCTCCCACTTTAAAAGGTAACCTGACCTACGAAAAGAGGTGTGTCCTCTGGACGGAGAGGCGGTGGAACCAAGCCTCCTGGGCCGCAACGGGCTCCTCCAAACGCCGGGCCCTACTGTGCCATTGAGGACACTCGGGTCACTGCCCCGATATAGATCTGCTGTGTGATTTCACTTCATGTATTGGCATCAGCTGAAGAGAGTTTTTGCAGGGTTGTGGTACTTTTTTAATGAAAAAATTAGAAGGCTTCCCTGGTGGCTCAGATGGTTAAGAATCTGCCTGCAATGCAGGATACCTGGGTTCGATCCCGCAGTCTGGAAGATCCCTTGGAGGGGGAAATGGCAACCCACTCCAGTATTCTTGCCTGGAGAATCCCATGGGAAGAGGACCCTAGCGGGCTTCAGTCCGTAGGGTCAGCAGTAGCCAGACATGGCTGAGTGGGCTACAGTCCATAGAAAGATGCCTATTTGAGAGTTGAGTCTATTGCCCCACGAGGAGAGTCTTTTGACTGGGAAGTTAACTCGGCCCTGTTTAAAGTTGCCGTCTGTACAAAGCAGGCTGGATGAAGCCGCCACGTTGCTGTCAGCTTAGCGCAGTCCTGTCGTGTCAGTGATCTGTGAGCTGCTTCTGGGTTAGAGAATCCGGAAGCCCAGTGTCTTGGATGCCTCCCAGGACTCCTGCTGTCTCCGCACATTGTCTCCTGATGGTGCAGCCTCTCCTGGGATTCCCCGGCTCCTCCATGGAGGGAAGGAGCCAGTTACCAAGTGGGACTTTATAGGCTTTTCACCGCCCCCCTGACATCTAATCCAGTCAGAGCTGCAGGTGTGGCTGCCTTGTGTGTGTGTGTGTGTGTGTGTGTGTGTGCGCGCGCGCGTGTGTGTGCACCCAGACACAGCCTCCCTGGAGGAGGCGCACAGAAGCCTGCAAAGGTGCCTGACATGCGTGTGACGGGAAGGAGCTCTGGAGTGCTGCTCTGCATTGTTCTCTCCGGGGAGCTGGGCACAGTTGATGATTAACTGAGCTTAAGTCATATACAAATCAGACTTGTGGGTTCTCAGCCTCTAATTACAAGTAGCCTTTTGGGAGAGAAGATCAAACCGGTTTTTTGTTGTTTTTTTTTTTTAATGTGGGGACCAGAAGGAACACGCACGCTTTGTCTTGAAACTTTGTTCTTGGCACAGACTGTGTGATCAGAAGAGAAGGACTGAGTACGTGTGACATCAGCCCAGCGATTAACAGGCTCACATCTTTCTTACAGGGAAAGTTTTAGGAGTGATCCCAGTTCTGTAGTGAAGGCTGCAATCACAGGGCCTTCGCCTCCATCTCCGTCTCACACTTGGGTAACTTGCAGCTCAGGCAGGGCCCCCTGCCACCCAGCCTGGGTTAACCTGGGCAGGGGGCGCCAATCAGGTGTGAAGACAGGAAGAACTTTTATGGGACCCGCAGCAGCTTTGTCCCCAGACGTCCCAAGTGCGAATGAGCTTGAGCACCTGGGGATTTACGCTGCCTTTAGGAGAGGTCCCCACATCAGCACTTACCACGAGGAGCTGCGCCTTGTTAATTGCCGCGTCTGAAGTCACAGCAGGAAGCGCAAAGTAGGTGTTTAGTGAGTCTTTGCTGGATAAATAAATGAGCTCCCGTTACTGCTGATAGTAGCGGGGAAGAAGGTTTCATGTTTACCGTCTCTGTGTCCTAGACTTCCGAGCTCATGAAAGCCCCGTGACCTCCGACCCTGCCTCTATGGCTGGCGCTGCGGTCACCTGTCCATCTTCCAGGGATAGTCCTTCCCCAAGACGCAACTGCCCTTCCCGTCTCTGTCAGGGTCAGGTTCCCAGTGGCCCTGATGGGAAGCCTTGGACACCCTGGAGAACCCGGAAGCTTTATGTCCCGCCAGGAACCACCAGCGCGAGAGGGGCCCAGGGGGATGAGAGGGCAGGCTCTGGGCACCTGCCAGGACCCTGCGGGGAGTTTCCAGCTGGTCATGCTGCCCAGCTCGAGCAGGAGTGGCTCCCCCTCCCTGGCAGGCGCTGGCCTTCAGCAGGAGCTGAGGGTCTAACTGCCGTCGGAGCCCCAGCGTCTGCAGCTGTCCTTGGGCCGCTCTCCGGGGACACGGACTGGCGCAGGGTCCCAGGGAGGTGCGGGGGTGTCCACGGCCGGGCTGGGCCCCCTTGTGCGGCGCCGGCACCCGTGGTCCCCGAGGCTCCCTGGGCCCCCTCCCAAGGGCCTCTCCTCCAGCCAGTCGGGGCTCTCGAGGTCCCGCCCGGCTGATGCCCAAGCTGCTTCCCGTGTGCCCGGGTTTCAGGGAGAGGGCGGAGGTGTTCTAGATGCCGTCTCTGTGCCCCGAATGTGGGGTGTTTCTCCCCCTCGCCCTCCGAATCTGCTTCAGGGCTTTGAGAGGGCTGGAAAGCCGGGTTGCAGATGGGAGCAAAAGGGCAAAGCAAGAGGAAATCAGCTCCGCCTCTGCAGCCTGTGAAGTCAGCAGTTCGAAGATGGGGCTAAGCCAGACGTCTGGTTGTAACGGCGTTCCCCGGGTAGAAGTTCTCAAGCGTTCGTGGTCACGGAACGTTGGTCCCTGGGGAGCTTGTCAAGGTGCAGGTTGCCAGGTGTGCCCTAGAGTCTCAGTTAACTGGTGTGGCAGGGAGCTCGGGGGTCTACATGGAGGCACGCGGGGCCTCCCCGCTCCCGGGAACCCCGTTGTCTCTCCTTCCAGGTTTGGGGGACTCAGACAGGACGTGCTGCCCCGACTGTGAGCCAGAAGGCCCGCGGTGCGCCGGGGGCGCGGGGCAGCGAGGCTCGCTGCTCTGGAGGGAGCCCGAGCGGCACTGCCGTCGCGTTTAGTCCGTGATGACTTTTCTGCCACACACTTGTCTGCAGAAACGCATGTGAGTGCAGGGAGGCTGAGTGCCTGGCTCCGCAGAGGGTCACACTCAGCGCAGGCTCCCCAGGAACCTCCGACTTAGCACAGCCTTAGAACCCACAGCAGGGTTAAGGAGAAGCAGAGACATAACCCCCCACGGAGGGCAGCGCACGTCCGGGGTGAGACGCCCTGTCGCCGTGCGGCGGGGTCCTCCGGACACAGTCATTCCCTGGAAGGTACCGGGGCCTTTCGACATTAAACAGAAACCGCCAGCTGCAGGCCAGGCCAGGCACACGGTAATCACAGAGCGTTTATTCCAGCACAAACAGGCCAGGGTCAGTTTTGGTAGGGGGGCGGGTTGGAGAGGGAGGAAAAAGCCAGAGGGGGCCTCTTTCAGGAGGAAGGGGCTCGTGGATGGGGAGGGAGGAGGTCTCATCGATGCGTTCAAACCCTGAAGCATGGTTGAGCAGGCAGCTGAGGTTTCCGCCTGCCCCAGGGTCCAGGGAGGAGAAAGTCTCGTGCAGTAAAAACTCCCTTTGTTTGAATCTAAGTGTTTCTCCTTGGCAGGAGCCCCTCTTGGAGCCCCGCCCCCAGCTCTCTGTCAGGGCCGTCCCCTGGGGAGGGTTTCCTGCTGCGAGAATGTTCAGGGGTGAAGCCAGGGGCCCAGGGAGTCTCGGTGGTTCTGAGTGTGTAAGACGTGAATAAACTCGGGCCTGCCTCTCGCAGTGTTACGTTTACAGATACTGTTCCACGAGGCTGGAGGCTGTCTTGCTGCGAAATGGGGTTGTTCTGAGACCCCTGCATCGGGTCCTGAGAAGGTGAATGTGGACCGCATGGTCCACCCACCGGCGCCAGGCTCTCGGCCCCTAACCCAGAGCAGTGTGCCGACGGCGTCATCCCATGAGAATCAGAAGTTGCTGCCACCTGCCCCTCTGGGACTGACTTCTGTATTATTGAAATTGCTGAAGTAATTCCTCATTTCCTATATAATAAGTAGAAATACAATTAATCACCTTTTTAAACAGGAAGACTCATATAATTGCACTCACTAATTATTGGCCTTGAACTTCATTGCTAATCAAAACAAGATTAGGCAGTGAGCCTCGACAACAGGGTGCAGTTTTATCACTAAAGGAAGGACGTCAGTGTTTGTGAAACACGAGTGCTATTTCCCGTGCATGTGTGTGTACGCGTGTGGGCGTGTATTGTGAGCATCAATTGCATACATGTGTGTATATTACATGATACTCACACACGTGTAGTTAACACACACAGTAACCCATCTCACAGCCAGGGAAGCCAAGACCTGGAGCAGGACAGAGCTGGGAGGTGGGCCCTGAGACCAGAAGGTGCTGGGCAGCGCAGGCTGCGTCCGCCCCGGCGCCGGGCACCCCTCCTGCAGGCCCCTCCCCGCGCCCCAGAGCCCTGCAGGACCGTTCTCAGCGCCTCCTGTGCGGGCCGTGTGTGTGTGTGTGTGTGTGTGTGTGAGAGAGAGAGTCGCTCATCTCATGGTCCACGCGTGAGTTGGAAAAGAATTCCCAGACATGAGGCAGAATGAGAGGAGCATGGAGCTATTAGAGTGGGAGACGCTGTTAGAACAGCGGGCCTGCTCAAGGGAGAGCCGATCTCGACCAGGGGTCCTTGGTGCACCTTTATGCCCAGGGTGCCAGGCCCGGGACGGGGCCTTGCGTGTCGTGTGCTGATGGGATGAGGCAGGTACACTGGGTGGGGAGAGGAAGGCAAATGCCTTCTCCCTGCGGGGTGGGAGGGGAGACAGGTTATCCTGCTCAGGAGGACCTGAGGTTCGTTAATGGTCACGACACAGGGAGGGAAAGAATGTAAGGGTCTGGTTTGTTCTCTGCCTCCATTCCAAGACCCTGCTTGTTCACTTGTTCTTTCGTCCTTGGGACACCACAGCTCCATCGTGTCCAAGTCTTTGTGGCCCCAGGGACTGTAGCCCGCCGGGCTCGTCTGTCCACGGGATTTTCCAAGCAAGAACACTGGAGTGGGTTGCCATTTCCTCCCCCAGGGGATCTTCCTGACCCAGGGATCGAACCCGGGTCTCCTGCATTGCAGGCGACTCTTTACTAGCTGAGCTACCAGGGAGATACATCTGCGCCGTGCAGGCTAAGGCTGTGCAGAAGGCGGGGCCCTTTTTCTCTCCTGGGGACTGTCCTGTCCCCTGAAGAGCTGAAAGCCCAGCCCCCCGGTGCCACAGACGGGCGGCCGTGAAGGGACGTGGTGACACAGGCGCCAGACGCGGGGTCCACGAGGCGCGCGCCCAGAACAGTGGGCTCTTGCAGAGATGGAAAGACCTTGACAATACCCTCGGTGGCTCCTGCTGGAGGCGGGGGCCTCGGACTGGTTTAGATCCCAGTCCCACTCTCATAAGCTGTGTTACCCTGTCTCCTTATAAAGGAAGATGTCTAAGTGACCATCGCCGATTCCAGCGTCTGTACCTGGGAAGACAAGCTGGCAGCAGTGGCTGGGAGTCCGTGTGCGGGGTGGAATGTGGGGCTGCAGGCCAGGGTTCATGGGGGGTTGGGGAGGTTGCCTCGAGTGAGGCGGCTTCACGGAGCTCCCTGGCCTCCTGGTCTGGACTCGGAGCGGCCCCATGCCCTGCTCTGTCCCTTCCTAGGACCGCTTGAGACGCCAGGACGTCGGCCTGCAGACGCACCTGGATCAGCTGGACCGGCAGATCAGCGCGCTGCAGCTGGACGTGCGCAGGGGCCCTGGCGAGGCTGCGGACAGCGACAGCAGGCCCAGCTCGGGTACGGCCGGCCTTCAAGCCCACCACTGCTCGGGCCCCAGGGTCAGCAGCCACCACTGCGCCCGACAGCACGCGTCACAGAAGGAGCTGAATATTTTCAAATGCTTGTATTTAAGTGCGATTGGGAAGAAAGGGGGGCTTCCCAAGGGGTGCTGGTGGTAAAGAACCTGCCTGCCAATGCAGGAGACATAAGAGACGCGGGTTCAATCCCTGGGCCAGGAAGATCCCCTGGAGAAGGGCATGGCAACCCCCTCCAGTATTCTCGCCTGGAGAATCCCATGGACAGAGGAGCCTGGTGGGCTACAGTCCCTGGGGTCGCAGAGTCAGACATAACTTAGCGACTTAGCACNTCCCTGGGGTCACAGAGTCAGACATAACTTAGCGACTTAGCACGCACGGAAAAAAGAAGAGAGAGTGCTGTATGCACTGTTTAGTTGGGAAAATACTGCTCTGGGGGGAAGAAACCGCGTGAGTTTCTCTCCTCTCTCTGGGCTGAGGCATATTCTGGGCTGTGTTCGGGTGGAGCGGACGTGGAGGCTGTAAATAACAGCTTTTGTGTGACAATAGGAGTTTTGAGTCCATAGGTTTATTCAGCCTGAAGGCAGTACTGCGTCATCCCCGCTGCCTGGGTGCCCTGCGTCAAGGTCGTTCAAGGTCGCACGTTGATGGTTAGCATCGTTCTGGCCGACACGGCCCTGGGCACCTGGGCTTCCTCTCCAGGTTCCGGGCTCAGACGGCGGCTCAGACAGCAAACCCGGGAGACCGGCGTCTCCCCGGGTACAGTGCTCTCTGGCGCGTCTGTTTTTCTGTTTGAAAGATCCTTCCGCGGTCCGGGTTGTCACGCATGTAGCAGGGCCGGGCGGGGGCCTCCCCGAACGCGGCCCCTTTTCTGGTTGATGCCTCAGATGAGGCTTGAGGGGCTCAAGGAGGGAGGGGAGAGGAGGGTTCCACTCCCAGGCCAGACGCCAGTGGCCACGTGTGGGACTGAGCCGCTTGCCCCGGAGAGGGGTGAGCAGGTGGGGGGCGGGGCTTGGGCGGGGGCGAGGGCGCGCCGACCCCGGGGGCACAGGAGGCAGCGGGGTTCCTGGGCATCCCCTCGCACGGGCTCCCTGGGCCGCTGAGCGCCTCTGTCCCCCGCCAGGCTTCTACGAGCTGAGCGACGGCGGCTCCTGCTCCCTGTCCACCTCCTGCACGTCCGTGTGCAGCGACCACGTGTCCTGCTCCCTGGGCACCTTGCTGCCCGCCGCCCCCAAGGCCAGGCCTGGCTCGGGAGACTGCCGGCCCCGCTCGGCGGATGAGACCGCCGTGTGTGGGGTCCCCCTGCCTGCGTGGGGGCCCCCGGCCGGCGAGGAGGGGCCAGGCCAGCTACTGCAGGAGGAGCCCCGGCCGCGGCCGGTGTCCACAGGTGAGGACAGCCAGGCGGTGGGGGACCCCCGGGCCCTCGAGCTCCCCCCGGGGAGGTGGGGACAGCCCCGAGCTGCCGAGCACAGAACAGGGAGCCCCGGGCATGTGGTGGAGGTTCCACCCCAACGTCTGCAGACGTCTCAGGGCTGGTCTGTCCCGTGACCTTGTCCCAGTCGCCCGCGTGGGCGACCCCCCTTCTCGCTGCATGCTCTGCACCTTGGCCGCACGAGGAAGGAAACTGAGCGTCAGGGTCTCAGCCTCGCCCCCGCCCTCGGCTGTGGCCAGAGCGGCCCGGGGGGTGGGCGTGCGGAGGCTGCCCGCGTGTCCAGGCACCGCGCGTGCGGGACCAGGGTCGTCCTGCCGCAGCCGGGTGGGGGCGCGTCCTGCCCCAGGGCGGCGCAGGCGCAGAGCTGGGTCGTCCTGCTGAGGCCGGGCGGGCGGCGCTTCCCACCCAGGGCTGCGCGTGCGGCTTCCCTCGTGGACGCCTCCCCCTTTTTCTCCTTCCCAGGTGACCTTGAAAGGATCCTACCGGCCGACGTGGGGCTGCAGAAAGCCGGGGCACACCCCGCGGCCGCTCCCTTCCTCTGCCACGGTGTGGACCCCAAGTACCAGTGCGACCTGGTGTCCCGGGGCGGCCGGGAGGTGTACCCGTACCCCAGCCCGCTGCACGCCGTGGCCCTGCAGAGCCCGCTGTTCGCTCTGACTAGGGAGACGCCGCAGAGCGAGGGCCGTGTTGCCCCAGCTCCGTCCGCTCCGGGCTGGCCTTCGAGGCTGGCCCCGCTGCAGCCTACATTGAGCGGCTGCTGCGGCTGCGGGCCCGAGGGAGTGAGCGGGGGCCCCCCAGAGGGGAGGCGTCCCCAGCCCCGCCGCAGCTCGGTGCCCGGAAGGTGGACGATGAAGATGGCCTGGAGAAGCCGGCCTGCACCCCCGGGAGGGTAGTGGTGAGCGGGGCTGCCTGCGGGGACAGCCTCGCCCGGCCGCCACCTGTGCCCTCTGTGGGCACCCCACGCCCCAGCAGCCATCCCAAGGGGGGACCTGGCCCCTTGTGTGGGCACATGCGCGGGGAGACCCGTCCAGACGCCCCCCAGCTGGCCTGTGGCCGGGCCCCCGCTCCCCGCTGCCCCGCTCAGCCAACAGCGCTTGCTGGCTGGACGGGCGGAGGCAGGTGGCCGAGCGGGCGAGTGGACGGACGCTGCGCCCACCCCCACCTGGTTGCCAGCGGAGCTTCCCCCACAGGACCCCCCAAGACCAGGCCTGTGACGGTCAGGAGGGGGCCCAGCGACAAGATGCAGGGGCCTGGGAGGCCGCAGCTGCAGTGGGGCGCCCTCGGGGTCCCCCGGCCGCCCCCAGAGTCAGGGGGTGCTCCCCAGAGGCCCACGCTGGCCGCAGAGGCGCCCGGCCGGTCCTGCTCCGAATCCAGCCTCTACCCCGTGTCCTTCTTTGTGCCCCTGCTGGTGGCGCGGCGGGAGGGTCACCGGGCGTCGGCTCAGGCCTTGTTCCCCTGGGAAGCTGCGCCGCTGGGGGCTTCCGGGGGTGCGGCGCGGAAGAGGCAGCGCCGGTGGCAGTCCTCGGTGGAGATCTCGGCCCGGGCACGCCCAGACCCCGGCCTGGTGCCCCGCAGGCCCGCAGCCCGGAGAGGGGGCATCCCGAAGCCCGTTTTTGCCAGGCCCAGGCCCCCGCCGCCCCCGCAGGACACCGGCGCCCGCAGCGCGTCGGAGGGCTCCGAAAGCTCGGCCGAGTGCGCCTCGCTGCTCCTCTCCACCGCAGCCGAAAGCAGCTGGGATGAGGCCAGCGACCACACCGCCAGCCGCTTCGGGGACGCCGAATCCAGCGGCAGCGACTCGGGGGGCGGCGGGCGGCCGGGCCAGCGGGCCCGCGCCAGCTCCAAGCCAGCCCTGCCCCCAGTGCCCAGGCTGTGCCGCGTCAAGGCCTCCAAGGCCCTCAAGAGGAAGATCCGCAGGTTCCAGCCGGCCGCCCTGAAGGTCATGACCATGGTGTGAGGGTCGGCCCGCCGGCAGAGGGGCCTCTCGGCTTAGGACCCGCCCAGCCTCTCTCACTCGCGTTTGGGGTGCGGGCTGCCATCTGACAGCTCTGCTTGGTCCCCGAAGCCACCCTTTGACGGGGTCCCCTCAGAGGAGCTGCCGGGGTGTCCCTGGGTGTGTCACCCCGGGTTAGGCTGTGACTCTGGGTGTGTCGCCCACGGGGCCCAGCGGAGACCGTCTCCAGGACCCCGGGATTGCAGGCCTGACGGCCGGCCTCCCAGGCCCTGTGCCCTGAGCCCGGGATGGGTGCCCTCGGGCTGGTGCACGTTGGGCGGCAGGCGGTATCCCCGATGGCTGCGGTGCGGCTCTAGAAACTGGGCTGGGACATGAGTCCTTGTCAAACGCTCCAGGTGAATAAACACCTGAAATGCCGTTGTCTTCGCAAGTCAGTCTGTCCCTGTAGCCTCCCCGCCCCGGGGACGTAGCTGGTGGTCAGCAAACCCTCGTCCTTCCGACCGTGAGGACGCTCTCTCACCCCGGGGGGAGAACGCGCTTCATGTGAGTCCACGCCACACTCTTTCCAACACTCATGTGTTGAGCATAAAAGTGCTTTTGAAAAGAAACCCTTGTGTGTGGTGTTTATTTTTCAAAGGAAATGTCCCTCAGCTTTTCCAGAAGGTGGGATTTTCGGGGAATCTGCCTGCTGAGAGCATCTTCAGTTCATACAGCACTGTACACGGAATTTTTCCAAGTTGCTTCTGTGGCCTGGAGGCAGAGAGAAGACCTCAGGGGCAGGGGCATCCCCCTGCCCCCGGGGAAGCCTCAGAAGGTCTGGGCTCCTTCGGCCCCTCCTGGGGAAAGGGTCTTCCTAAGCTTTTTCGGAAACTGTATTGATACTTGAAGGAAGAAGCCAAACCTACTAGTGATGGGTTTTTTGGTAAAAGGTTGTGCACAGGACAGGCGCTTCCCTGGTAGCTCAGCTGGTAAAGAGTCCACCTGCAATGCAGGAGACCCGGGTTCAATCCCTGGGTCAGGAAGGTCCCCTGGAGAAGGGACAGGCTGCCTACGCCAGTATTCATGGGCTTACTCAGTGACTCAGATGGTAAAGAATCCGCCTGCAATGCGGGAGACCCGGGTTCGATCCCTGGGTTGGGAAGATCCACCCTGGAGGAGGGCGTACTCTTGCCTGGAGAACCCCATGGACAGAGGAGCCTGGCGGGCTACAATCCATGGGGTCACAGAGGGTCAGACATGACCTAGCGACCACAGCACAGCTCACAAGGCGTTCTCTTTAATGGTCTAATGCTCACCAATGTGGTCTGAGAGGGTGGGGGGCCCAGGTCCTCTGGGGCCTCTGAGAAGGTGAGAGACCTGTGAGAGGATCCAGGGGCTGCGAGGCCGGCCCTGCCCAGCCCTCACAGCCTGCGCCCCTCGCCGGCCACCCTGGAGAAACGAGGATGACGCCCCCTTCGCAGGGTGTGCCCTGCTGTTCGACGTCCTCTCTTGCATCAGGCAGAGCCCCTCCCAGTTCAGGGGCTGCAGCGCCGCATTTGCAAAGTGCAGACTTCCTTTGTCATCATCAGGGACTCTGTCCTTGCTTCACAGAGAGCCCTCAGGCTCTGTGTCTGGCTAAGGTCTTGCAAGGTCAGTGCAAAAGGGGTGCAGTGAGTGTCCTGACAGTGTTTCTCTTTCTCGGAAGCCAGGCTGTGTTTCCTCATGATTCAGCCTCTGAAGTGAGCCAGACAGGAATGCGTCCCCACCCAGATGATGCTGGGCCTGTCTGTGCAACCAGCAATCCAACCATGCCAATAACCCAGCAAAGTAACCACGCCGACCAACCAACCGGCGATCTAACCATGCCAATAACCAAGCAAAATAACCATGCCAACCAGCAAAGTAATCATGCTGACCAACCAGCTGCAGATCGAACCATGCCAGCGGCCTGTCCCTCTGGACAGCCCAGGAGGTACGGCCGCAGAGGAGGCTACGGCCGGGTGAAGAGCAGAGGGAGGGCCAGACAGACAGACAGACAGACGGCGGGGGTCTCTGACCCCCAGGAGCATCACGGGCACCTCCAGGCAGGCTGGGCGAGCACCATTGGGAGGGCTCTTTGGGAAAATCCCTAAAAGCACAGAATTAAAGTTGAGAACATCAGTGACAAGAAGGCAGAGACCGTCCCCAACCCAGAGGTGCTATAAACTCAGAGAAGAAAGATACTCGAGGAAGGCAGGAGGTTGAGGGCAGAATGTGCAGAAACAAAGATTAACTGAGACATTCCATTTATCTGCCTGAATAGTTTATGTTTTTAGCATGTTTTTCCTCTGAACAGATACGGTCATAGCTGCTCAGGACAAGGGAACACAAAGTGGGCGGCTGCTCGGGGCAGCAGGTGGCCTGTGACGGGGAGGGCGGAGGGTTACTCGACGACGGGGTCCTTCCAGTGCATTTGAAGGTGGCTGAGCTACTTCCCCATCCCTGAAGTCAAAAAAAAAAGAGAGAGTTGATTCTCTGACTTTTGAGATCATTAGGAAGCATTTGTCATTTCCAGCATGACTGAAGTACAAGTATTATAGCAAGAAAGTGAATATATAAAGGATAAACTAGTTCTTTCTAAGTATCAAAGTCAAACTAAGATAGAAATTAGATAAGAATAGCTAATTCATAAAAATTAGAGAAGCAGTGTAACTGTATCAGAGAAGATACCCCAGCCATTTTATCAAATCGCCTTGTTTGATTTAAGGAAATAAGGTTTCTCCTGTTATCACCTGAATGTGCTTGTCCCCGGTTTCCTGTGCTGAAGCCCTGACTCCCGTGGGATGGCCTTAGAGGGGTCCTGCGTAAGGACCCCCAGGCAGGGCCCGCGGGAGGATTGGGAAGAGCTCATGCAGGTGGTGCCCCTACAGATCCAGAATAAACCGAGCCCACGAGCACCGCCACCCCAGAATTCCTGTAGCTTAAACCCCAAGAGGGGGTGGCTCAACACCCACAGCCCGTCAGCACGCGCAGAGGGAAGGTGGGAAGAGCTGAGAAAGCAGGCATAGAGGGCTGCGGGGAGGGAGACGCAGCCTGCATCCTCCTCGTACAACCAGGGGCAGCTGGGCAACTACCCAGAGTCTGTCCTCAGCGCTCCCGCACTCAGGCACCTTCACGGAGCCCTGCTGTTTGCAGGAACTGTACCAGCTGCTGGAGGGGCGTTGCACAGACAATCAGGGTGCCGGTTTGGGGAAGTTTTGTCCACGTGGAGGAAATATGCAGCCAGCAAGGATGGCCTGCAGCCGCCGCTGTTCAGTCCCTCAGCCATGTCTGACTCTGCGACCCCAGGGGCTGCGGCACACCAGCTTCCCTGTTCTGCACTCTCTCCCAGAGTTTGTTCAAACTCACGTCCATCGAGTTGGTGAGGCCATCCAACCATCTCATCCTCTGTCACCCCCCTCTCCTGCCCTCAATCTTTGCCAGCATCAGGGTCTTTTCCAATGAGTCAATTCTTCGCATCAGGTGGCCAAAGGATTGGAGCTCCAGCTTCAGCATCAGTCCTTCCAATGAATATTCAGGGTTGACTTCCTTTAGGATGGACTGGTTGGCTCTCCTTGCAGCCCAAGGGAGTCTCAAGAGTCTTCTTAAGGACGACCTAGCAGCCCCTGAAGCGGTCAGTGGCAGGCACCGGGGCCCAGAGGAGCAGTGTTTGGACTGCACATGGACAGCGCAGTTAGAGGTTTAGCTGGGAGGACTGGGAACTGCACTGGGCTGAGGGGTGAGGAGGGAAGCGGGGAGACAGGGGCGGTGGGAAGGCAGCCCAGGGCCGAGCAGACGCGCAGAGCTGCGGTGCGAGGGAGGCTGAGTGGGTCCAGCGAGGAGCTCCCAGAGAGCCCAGGTCTCGTCCTGGACGTGGGAGTCCTCGAGGCATGGGGGTGAGAGCAGACCACCCCCGGGGGGTCTGTCCCCGCAGGGCTGCTGAAGCCAGGGGTCAGCGTCACCAGGAACCAGCACCTCCAGCTTCTGGCAGAGGCCGGGCAGACGGGGGAGGGGGAGCTTCCCACGGGAGGGGGGCAGGAGTGCTGGAGGCCGAGGGGGCGCTGAGGAGTCAACAGAAGTGGGGGGTCACATAAGCCTGGGAGGGCACACTCGGGGTCCTCTGGTTGGCCCTGCGTTGGGAGCAGGATAGGAAGTGGGCAGCTGTCAGCCGCAGGCCAGTCCTGCCAGGTCGGGCAGCCCATCACAGCCGCCTCCGGCAGCCCCGTCATGAACAGTCATCGCAGACCACGATCCGACGTCCTGCAGGCCTGCCTCGGGCTTCTTCCTGGGATGTTTGCTGCAGATGATCGGAAGGGGTTCTTCCTGGCAGGTGGGCTCTGGCTGAGCCTCCAGCCCTGTGTTCACAGGAGTTCTGGCCGCTGATTCGTGTGTGTTCGGGCTATCAGACGCCGGGAGAACTTGCTAGGCTTGTCTGGAGAGGCCTGTGACCACCTGTGCGGAGGTGGGTCTGAGACGTGACCGGAGGTCTGACCCTGGCCAGGGGCCCAGCCAGCGTGAGGCGGGAGGCGCTGAGGAGGGGCGTGCTCAAGGCCAGACACGCAGCTCACGGTCATTCTGTGGTTTGGGGGGCACGGTCCCCTGCAGAAGACACCCCAAGCTATAGTGACTCAGAGTCCAAAGGAAACAGAAGCATTTTCCCAATGTCATTCACTTACCCCAGTAAGAAGTGAGAATTCTCAGTGAAACAAGAATATGTTCTTATCTCTAAGAAGAACATCCCTATAGAAACAAGAACTCCTGACCAATATTTTTATTACCATGTTTACATTTTATTTCCCTTTCATTATTTCATTCGCTTTTTTTTTTCATTCTATTTTATTTCCCTTTTTCTGTTTCTCTCAGCCATGGTCTCCTGACCAAGGATAAAGCCCCCAGCAAACGAAGCAGCAAATCATTAACCCCGTGCACTTTGACTTCATCTTCCTTAATCGTCTTCCTCCATCTCCACGCCTCTGTCCCGTCGGACACCACTGGCCGGATGACGCGCACAGCCCGCAGTCTAGATCCGCCCTCTGTGACACTCGTCACTCCTGGGTGGCCGCTGTGGTGGGGACAGCCGTGGTGTCGGTCGCGCCGTCCCTGCGGCCTGCCCGTCAGCAGGCTTGCCTCCGCTGCCCGTGCTGGTTCGTGTCCTCCTACCGAGAGGGAGGAGGAGCCGGGAGGCCGGCCCGGCGGGGCTGCTGGACCGCAGGGAGGAAGCCTCTTCTTCTCCCATCCCCCCGACCGAGGAAAGTCCGTAGCTGTCTGCCATGGATAAAGTCATTTCTAATCCCCAGGGACACTGAATAGCCTGCATCAGGGGGCTTGTTGAAGCACTAAGTGCTCAGCTGATGCCCAGAGGCCAAGCCAGGATTTCCGCCCCAGCTTGAGTAGGTCTGGTACCTACAGACGCCCCGGGCGCTCCCACTGTTCACCTTGCAAACCACTTCTGACAGCGGCTCTCTGAGCCACATCTAGAGAACAGCTTGTCATCAGCTGAAAAGCGCTTGTTCCCTGCCATTTACTCAGCACCTGTACGGTCCTAACAGTCCTGAAGAGAACGCCGTCCCCTCCTTACAATGCCTGACGTTCATATGCCTTCGGA